TTTTTTTTTCAACGTTTATTTATTTTTGGGATAGAGAGAGACAGAGCATGAACGGGGGAGGGGCAGAGAGAGAGGGAGACACAGAATCGGAAACAGGCTCCAGGCTCTGAGCCATCAGCCCAGAGCCTGACGCGGGGCTCGAACTCACGGACCGCGAGATCGTGACCTGGCTGAAGTCGGACGCTTAACCGACTGCGCCACCCAGGCGCCCCCCTGACTTACTTTTATAAAGAAAATTGTCCTTTCACTGCCTTTGTGACATGATATGACACGAGTGCCCTTCCTCATCTCCAGCTCTAACCCCCAACCCCATGCACCTGTTGTGTTTTTGAACTCTTTGTTCTAACCAAAGGATTTCCTTTTTTGGAGACGATTACCTGGAACCTCTCTCTTTTTTTTTTTTTTTTTTTTTAATTTAAACCCAAGTTAGTTAACGTCTACAAGGAACCTCTTCTAATTCTAGTCTGATTTCAAATTTAGCTCCTTAGGTTTTCTCTATGGAAAAGGCTTCCCTTTAAGTTGGGAGAAAAAGCATAACTATCAAAGAAGTAAACTCAGGAGAAACAGGGAAAAGGTGTAATTCATTTCTTCCAGAAGATGACTTTGCAGTTCTCCTAAAAGACACCATTCAGATGTCGACGACTGGGGATTTCATGCTTCATTATCCCTATTTTCCCTCTCGTTTTGTGTTCTAGTATGGATTTATCAACACCTGTCTTCAGTCTCTTGTGATAGAGAAATTTGGTGAAGAGACCTGGGAAAAACTGAAGTAAGTATATTAAAGGAAAGATGGAGAATCCCTGGGGACAAGCCTCCAGTGCTTGGAAGGTCATGGGTTTTTACTAACCTTTTGATGAAGACGGCTATTACTAGGGACATCAATTTAAGTACCTTAAACATACCAACTAGATACAGGAAAAATCTGCTCTCCCATATCTGTCATTAAGGAAGGTATCAGTCTTAATTACTAAGCAGCTTTAAAACAGGGTCCCTATGTGAATGATTATTCTACCTTTAATTTCATGAATGAATTCTTATTTCCTCCTTTGGATCACGGAAGAGTAAGCAACTACATTATTTCCATCGCACATAAATGGAGCTGTTGAGATCCCACAGAAGATGGGTAACCCTTTTGAGTTTAGCCAGAATCCCTGTATACATATTCTTTAGTTACCTGTTAGGGTTTTTCCTCTCGGCTGCCGCCCAGCAAAGGCTGAACACGGTTAATTACATCTCCTTGTGGTCTCCTGTCTGATTCCTGTAACCTTGTACTGTCCTTCCGCTTCTTGGAGGCTCCCAGCCTCTAAGTGTTAGAGGACTGGGCTAAAGGGTCTCCTAGGTCTCCTGGTTCTTTCAAGAGGGAAGAGTAAAAAAATATGGAAAAATGATTGGCATCCTTGATTAATCAATGGCATGCAAATCGAAGCAATTTGGTGCTGCTTTGTCTATTAAATCTACAAAACATTGAAGTGATAATAAGCAATTCTGGTTAAGATGCAGCAAAATGGGTAATTGCTGATGGCAATGTGAGTCAGTGCAGCCCTTTAGGAAAGCAATTTGACAATATGTACCAGAAGCTGGGAAAATGATAAAATCCTTTAAAGCAGTAATTTAATTCTTGAGAATTTATTCTTGGGAATCTAGTCCCTTAGAAACAAACATATCCACACACACACACACACACACACACACACACACACACAGGTGTAACATAGCCCTATATTTATAAATAATAAAAGAAAAAATTATCTTTAGCATTAAAAAAACAACCAACAGACAAATGGAATGGCAAGAAACATGCATCATTATATGTGATGCTTGCAAAGATTATGAAGCAATCTGTAAAATTTTATGACAATGTTAAGTCAAAAAGGCAAAAAAACCCGCACAAAACAGCCACAACACAAAACAAAAAACCCCACAAGACACAAACTTCCATGGTTAGTAGGTAAATGACACAAATGAAAAAAAAAAAAAAAAAAAAAAAAGAAAGAAAGACCATACTAGTAACGGACAGTAATTGAACTAGAAAAAAGACGTGTTGGATGACTTTTTTGCCTCATATCCATTTCCCAAATTTTCTCTATTTTTTTCATTGCTTTTGTAGTGTGAAAACAGCTTGAAAAGCTTAGTGCAAACTTTCCCTCACCCCTTCCTATTTCCATTTTACAAATAAAATAATTAGAGCCGAGGGTGCAGGGGACTTGCATGCATGGGGCTAAATTAGGAGGAAACAGGCAGGCCCCGCAGCCCTGGACCCCCGCTGCACGCAGAGCACAGCAGCCAACTGCTCACGCATAAGGCGCCAGACCCTCCTCTGGAAAGGCAGCCTCAGGCCATTTCCACAGCATCTCTGGGGTAATTTTCTTAAAGCACCACAAGTTTGGGTGGGATCAAGAAACTCAGACTCCTAAAGGCAAAGAATACTCATTTCCAAATATTTCAGGGAGGAATGCTGAGTAATTACGCAGAGAAAACTTGGACTGGTGGGTGCTCGAGAGATCATCTGGCCCGGATCTCCTCATTATACAGATGAGAAAACTGTGGCCTGGAGAGGTTAAGTGACTTGCCGAAGAGCTCACGGCAAGCAGGCAACAAGGCAAGGATGCAATGTCAGTCAGTATCTTCAAGTGCTCCTTTTCAATCCCCCAGGCCGCCCTGAGGAGAGAAGCATTTGAAGACTCTCAGACTGTCTTCTTAAATTGCTATTATGCTGTAGAGAGTAAACTCAGCAAGGAAAGGAGGGAAATAGCCTTATTTTAGGCACTTACTTTGGGTCAGGCCCTTTCCATAAGGATCTTATTAAAGCTCAAGAAGAGCACGGCACAGCAGGTTACTGTCTCTGCAAAAAACACTGGAGGATTAGGTAATTAAGTAAGCCATTCTGCCTGGGTGATTTAATAATCTATAGAAATATATATATATATACACACACACACACATACACCTGTCTTTCTCTCTCGCTCTCTCTCTTTCTCTCTCTCTCTATATATCTGGATTCTATAGAAAAAATATATATACATATATACACACGCATATACCTGGAACCATATTATTTATATATATATATA